TCTTTGGTTTCAATACTTTGTTCGGTTTCGGCTCCACTTTTCGTGGCGAACGTCTTCGGGAGTCATCGCTGGCGTCGTTAGCGCCACTCGTTTTATCCATAGATTTAAAGTAATTCGAGATCTTATTGGACGAAGAGGTGGGCGAAGCGTTTGAGTCCTTTCGCTTCTCCTTACGTGCGCTGGCGTTGGAAGTGCTCGGCTTCGGTCCGCCGTTCACTTTACTGGTCGACGTCTTGAGATAGTCGTCGAGCACTCGTTGGGAATCAGGTAATCGACTGATGAGATAATTGTTGAGTTTAAACAACTCTAATGTCTGCAGAAGTGCTGTCTTCTCCCTCTCCCTAAGAGTGGACGCCTTACTAATGATGGCTTTGCTTTCGGTCTCGTATTTAACGATCAATTTTTTCAATCGTTTGTTTTCTTCGTTCATTTCGATCCAGTTTTTGCCGCCATTTGTCTTACCATTCAATGAGTCCTACAATTAATCAATCAATCATTAAATCAATGCCTAATTCAATGTCTATTGAAAGACACAAAACGCGAGACATGTGTCGCGACGACAAACACCTGTTGGCCATCGGATTCTTCGTTGTCCGACACTTCCATCACTTCTCTGGCCATCAATTGAGACACAAATTGGCGTAAAATTTATAATAAAATTGATTTAAAGATAAATTAAAACAATTAATAAAACAATTATTTTTTTTAACGATTTATTGATTTCATGCCTGAAATCAAAGCCAATGAGAAATGAGCGCCAAATCCAATGCAAACCAAATTCACGTGCGTTTTGTGGCATTTGTTGACATTTTTCAAACAAATCAATGAAATGTTTTCACAACATTTTCAACGCAATTGTATTCTTGAATATTCACTAATATCTGGACGTAATTTATGGCTTGCTTTGAATGCAATGTTTACCCAATTTTGTGATCAAATATTTTGCCACAAAAATAGTTAAAAAGATTGACTCAATGGTCGCGAAGTGATTGTCTTTCGGCCGACAATCTTGTTGTCAAACTCGTGAGGAATGAATCCGTCGCGAGATATTAAAGACATTAAATATGGCCACGACTTGAACGCCGGCCCGTCTTCGGTGTCGTCCGCGTCCTCGACGGCCAACTCTTCAACCAATCCATTGAATGAGCGAAAGATTTGGTTGTTTTCGCTGAAGAACTTGAGGCCGGAAGAGGTGCCACCGGAGGATCAGTTGGGAAAATGCCGTTTAGTCACAGAGTTTGAGAAACTGAATCGCATCGGAGAGGGAACCTATGGTATTGTCTGTGAGTATGAGCGCAGCCATCGCGCAGTCATGTCCTAACCACTGGTTGTCTCTCTAACACATCCCTAACCCCACAGACAGAGCCCGAGACACGCGGACGGACGAGATCGTGGCCCTGAAGCGCATGCGTATGGACCGCGAGAGGGAAGGGCTGCCCATCAGTGGTCTCCGAGAGATCAATCTATTG